ATTTTTAAAAGATTTATGAAAATTACTTTCGCAAAAATCAAATTAATATGATACAAGATGGCACATGGCATAAATTTGTGAAAATTAAATCCACGAAATTTATAGCCCTCGAAAAAAAGGTGCCCTACAGTAGCAGGTAATTTTCTACTGGTGTTTATTTTCATCTGTTTTGTTGCTATTAATTCTGAACAAAAATTAATTCTTGATGAAAATTAATTCTGAAGATAGGCATGACCATGATGATAACAAGCATAGATGGCCTTGAAAATGGAATTCACCTTCTAAAGAATTTCTTCCAGACCTACAGGACCAGAGGACCTTTTTCTAATGCTATCAGTCCTTCAGATACTAATGAAAACATCAGATCAATTGTTTTTGTCTAGTAAAAAAATAAAGCCAACAAATTTTATTCTAAAGTCATTTCTGGATTCATTTTAAATTTTCAACCACTGAAAATTACCTGCTTTAGATATGTAGATGTATATTTTGTATTCATTGGCATAGGTAATGATCAATGTAATAAAACTTGTGAAAATGATCATATGAAATTTCACAATAGTATTTTCAAAACAATTTTTAAAAATATTTTTGCTCATCTTATTACAGATGATAAATGGCGAATTGATAAATCCGAGCTGTCATTAGGTAAAGAACTAGGTAGTGGAGAGTTTAAAGTAAGTCTTCTGCCTATACATTATGTGTGCATATTGTATAGCACAAGTCAACATCTTTTAATTGCATAACAGTTTGTTTTAATAGTCTTTTTAAATTACAAGCTATTGTATTTCTTTCCTTTCAGAAGGTAGTAGCAGGTCAGTGGCGTAATGAAGTTGATGTTGCTATTAAAATAATGGAAGGTGCACTGAATGAAGATGACTTGATCAAAGAAGCAACATTGATGGAGTAAGTTTGTTCACAGTAATAAGTTTCTGCATTCTAAGTTATTTTATTTTAAAAAGTTTAGCTTTAAGAAGCTTGGAAAAGCTGAATTTTCTCTATAATTTGATTGCCTTCTTAAATTACATTTTGTATTTTTGTGTTTGCAGGAAATTCCAACATGATAATTTAGTAAAGTTATATGGAGTGTGTATCGGACAAGGACCTGTTTATATCATCACTGAATTAAATGGTAATGGTAAGATACAGTAGAATGAGCATATAAAATATCTTTATCCTCCCTCTTGATGCTATCATTTCTCCAATGTAGGTTCTCTACTCCAGTATCTTTGTAATAATCAACATTTAGTAAATAAGACAGACATTTTACTTGACATGGCTATACAAATTTGTGCTGCTATGAAATTTTTAGAACAATCTGGTTTTATACACAGAAATTTGGTGAGTCAGGTCATGATGTCAAGTGAGAGTTTACCTGTTAATTGGTCAGTACTGCAAGCATTTTTTAGAACTTGATGAGCAATTTTACTGATGCTTACTGACATGTAGTTTTTGAATTTTTACACTGTTATTTGCGACCCTATTTCAGGCTATTTGGTGTGTTTTCAAATACCTTCAATTTTATTACACCAGAAATGAGGGGTGGGGACTGAAAAGGAGAGCCCCCATATTGATCTTGCTGTAGTCAACACCAAATATTGATACATGTATAATGCACTCAGTATAACTGTCAGAGCATGATTAAAATGGCCATAAAAGGTTGCCCTTACATGTAATAAAATTTGTACATGCCTGCCTGCCTAAAAATAAGTCAATTCTAATGTGTTACATGTACATGTACCATAAAGTAAATTCAGGGCCATTTATATTTTTGCTATTCTTCTGACACACCTGCAGGCTGCTAGAAATTGTCTGGTTGGTGATAGGAATATTGTTAAAGTTGGTAGTTTTAGTTCAGCAAGATTTGTTCCTGATGATGAGTACAAAGCATCTGTAGGTGCCAAGTATGCTGTTAGGTGGTCAGCACCTGAAGTCATCACTCATGCTAGATTTAGCAGCAAATCTGACATTTGGTCATATGGTAAGCTACAAGTAATTGTATATAATATCTTGAAGTTGATTAGG